ACAAAAATCATTTTGGCATCGTTGGATAGATAATTGAAAATTCAATCCAGACATAACAACATGAGTGAGGAAATTCGAGAAGTTTTAACCCAGAAAGCGAAATTTGAACATCAGAATCTTTGGTGCAAGATTATGCCAAAATTTCAACTTGATTCCCATTGCCATTTCATCCACAATGTTTATTTTTTCTTAGCATTTTTCCCTTTCATGCAGTTATTCTGGATCTATCTACATGCTTACTTTAGCCTTATTGTGAATAACTCATTTCAAATAGATTTCGCTCGATTTAATTTCAAAGTTGTCTCCGGATTAAACACGTATTAGATTTGATAGGCTTTCAAGGGTGTAATCGGGAGTAAACCCGTACTTTCGGCTCAGATAAATACGCATTTTCCATCTAGTTCTGAAGGTAAACGTGATGGTTAATTAATTAGAATGGTGAGCGCTTCGAAGGAAACAAAAAACGGGCGTGAGTTTATCTAAATTTAATATTTTAGAGCTCAGCGTGATTCAAACAAAGTTTTCGTGATTTTTGGTGCATTTACAGTGCGGGAGTTACCTGGTTTACTCGAACTTCCATTGCTTGCTACAGAAAGTTTTTAATAACAACGTTTTGATATGTGGCTAAACAAACTTGAAACGTTAAGTTAGACCGATTGAAGTTCGATCAAACCATTTAAAGATCTGGTTTACAACCGTTGACTTTTCTTCGATGATCGCAAACGTTTGAATGGCATACGTCCCATAAGCAAACTAGCAGGAAAATTACTCTCTAACCTCGACACACGAGCAACAGTTTACCTTAAGGGCTCCCTAAGGCCGCATGCAAAAGCAATAAATGTACACAAACCACGCTAGAGAACGCGAGTAATCGTAATCGTTTTATGCAGGAAAGCATAAAATAAGCTTCCAAAGCGTTTCAGGAAAATTGCTGTCCCAGAAGGCACAACGGACTTCTTCCATTGCATCATTGCACCTGAAAGTCTCGAAGAACATTCTCAAACACCGTATAACACATAAAACTTCATTATATTAATGTTGAATTTTATTTTACTTCATTCTATACGACTTGCGAGCTAGTGAAAAACCGGGCCAACAAAATATGGATTTGACTTTGCCGCACATAAATGTTTAGTGCCTTTTAAAGACCGAGCCACATGGTTTTAGAAGGGCTCTTAACTTTATTTGTGTTTTTATACGGCAGAAAATAAAAACATCGTTAAATCATCAGTAATCAATTTTTAATACAGATGAGCAACCTTTTTTGAGGGTTTTAGATTGGGAAAACCTTCTATTAGCCAATAAAGTAAATATATGTGTTTTTCACACTCAGACTCTTCTGGGAAATTAAAATGTTCAATTTCCTGGCCTTCCAACCGGTCAATGTACACTCCCTTTAGTTGGTAGCTGGATATAGGAGTGAGCTAAGTTTTTTAATAAGCAGTTCTAATTCAAGCTGAAAAATCCCCAGTGAAAATTTTCACGCTTAGACAAGGAAATATCCACAACAAGCATTGGCAGATGGGAATTGTGCCATACATTTTCCCAGCCCAATTTAATCAACTTTGATGTATGCCAGGGCATACAGAAATCTGGAGGGTTCAATACTTGGAAGCTTTAGACTCATTTATCAAATAAAGCCATCCAAAACATTTGTTGCAGACAAATATTCCGAGCTTAAGCAGCTTGACATGGAAAAACCGAAACGATGTCGAGGGATTACAGAATTCTGAATAAATAATGATTCCAGAAGGAACTTGGAGTATTTTTGGGGCCCGCTTCGGACATATCTTTATAGAGCTTAGCTGTGTTAGATTTCCAGTTTCCAGTCGGCCGTGATTCGATCTGGAAAGTTAAATATTTTTTGATGTGAAGCGTTCATTTCGATTTAACAACCTCGTTCAAATGTTGTGGAAAAGTTTTAATTTGCTATAAATGGCCTCGAAAGTATTTTTCAATCTGCTTCTGTTCGGGAAATCGGAAACTTTATTGACCGACACTTTTTATTGGGAAGTTCTGAAGTTGAGATGTGATTGGAAGCTTTTCTGCTGTGCACAATATCGTTGCAATTCTTGCAGACTGAGTGGAAGCGCAATGTGTTGAACGCTATAGCTGAAGAAATAACATTCTATCTGGAAAGACATTTCGGACAAGAATTTGTTCCGGTTTAGAGCTATCAAGGTGTATTTCGCTTTAACCACAACAGCATAATTTCTTTATTTAAAAAAAAATATTAAAAAGCAGGATTTGCTTGGGCTTTCATGCAACTTCCGGGAAATCGTTTGGATATTTGACTCAATTTTTGCTAGCACTGTTCAAAAGCTGCCGTTTAAAAGGTTTTGCGTTTTCAATCACAAGTCGCATTTAATAATTAAACCTGAATTTTATACAAAAGTCTCACAAACCAACGTTTCCAGAAAATGTTCAGCATGGTTTCCTTGAGATATTTATGGATTTTCTCTGTTGGCTGGTGAAACACTTTCTATGTTCCCTGCTTGAATCCATCAGTTGTTCTTTTTGTATTATTTTGCCCTTGAGGCGAATTTAAAAAACACCACGTTCCAAACAGTTTGTTTGCTATTTTTACACTCACTCGCGGAAAATATGAAAATGTCTTCTTAACATTAAAGAATTATAGCATAATGCATAATGAAGGCATTATCGCTGTTTTTGGACAATTCCAAGAACTAGAAGGGTTTCTGGGTGATTTTCTATGAATTGGCGCACACTCCATACAGAACTCTTGTGATTCAAATTGAGGAACAAACCCTTCATATTCGTATGTAATTAAAACGGCCAACGAATTTGAATGTTTTCATCGCTTGATATTTGCAACAATGTTCCAACAGCAAATCTCAACTTACACCAACAATCAAAAGTGAATTAACTAAAAATGTAAAACTTTTCTTCTCTCAGGGCCTTGCGTTTAATTAAGAACTTTCTTCATTAAAGCAACAGACTTTTTCCTCGTTGAGACGCATCAGCATCAATAATTGGACTGCAGGAGTGGATAATGAAATATTAACAAAGATATTGCGCTCGAGCACAGGTAAATAAAACTGGGACTTTAAGTTTATCAGCACGGAGCAGCCGCGCCTTGTTTGGGCAACTGAAATTCCGGAGAAATGAGGATGATTAAATGGAAAATTGCTCACTTGAGTTAAAACAGCGTTTTCATAGAGCAGCCCCCATTCAGTCATGTACATTAAAAATCTACCTAATTGCCTTTTGAACGACAATGAGCGGAAACCCTTGAAATATTTTAATTTGAAGCAAAGTATTAAATGAGCACGTAATTAAATGCTTAATTTATTTGGGTTGTGTATATTTTTGGATGATTTTCATGTTTTCCTTTGCCTTATCGGTGTTTTCTGGCTAGACATTCATCGATCCACTTGCCTGATGGCAAAATGAATGCAGGAATACTCTTAAGGAAATGAAACATCCTTTTTAATCCGAAAACAAATTTGTGAAAGCGGCGCTGTGGTTCGTATGAGTAAACTTGTTGTTTGAACCGATCCTTTTTTGCGCTTGGCTTGAATTCAGAGATTTGTATGTACGTCCTATTGGGAAATTTTGTTTAATTTTTTTGAATCGTGTTCAAATCAAAAATGAACTTCTTTGCCTTATCGTTTACTCGCTAATGAGCTCGATTTGAGGATGTGCCGATTAATTTGCTTCGAAAACGTTACCTGTATTGTTAAGAGCTACTTATACAGGGTGTCCCACCGGGAAACGCCGCGATCGATATCTGGCAACCTGTAATTAGCAGAAATTTGAAAATTGGGCAGTGTGCCTAGGTCATTGGGGGAACCCCGCCGAAAATATTTTCAAGATGGTCACACATCCGGTTATACCGGAAGTGCGTTTCA